AGAAACAAACTGGCTAACAAAAACCTCCGCCACAGTCTTTGCCCTGATATTTTTAAGCGGAAAAGCTTCCACTCATTTTGTAAAACAATTTACTGACCAAGAAATATTTACTCTCAGAATAAGTCGTCGGGAGGGGACCAAGAATGTCCATTTGTACTCTTACAAGAGGAGCCCCAATGTTAAAAATTTGAAGAGAAGACTTTTTTTTTCCCACAGAGCCTTTTTTGGCTACGCAGATGTTACAAGATTTGAACCAATTCTCGACATTCTGCTTACACGTCGCCCAATAAAAGCGTTTTCGGATCTTTTTTAGGGTTTTGTTCATCCCAAAATTTCCGCCCGAAGAGGAGTCATGAGACTTTTCCAGAATCTCCTTCACGTGTTTCCGAGAAACAACAAGCTGGAGTAGGCTTGATTTCAAATTGGGAACCTCCCACTTCTTATAAAGGACTCCATCCTTGACAACTAGAGCGTCCAAGTAGGACCAGTAAACTCGGGATAAAACGTCCTTTGCAATTATCTCGGAACGCGGAGGTTGTTCTCTCGCCTCCTTGGCTCGAAGAAAGATAGAAACGCCAGGGTCTTTCTCCTGGTTTCTACGCCAGTCCTCGAGACTTTCACCTCAAAAAACTATGCGAGCAACGGACTTTGCTTGCTCTTCAGCACTTTTCTTTACGACTTTGGCGCAATACCCACAGCCAGATAGCTCACATTGCCGTCTAGACAATCCGTCGGCATTCTTGTGAGTCTAACTTTTCCAATAAAGGATTTCAAATTCATATTGCTGGAGTCTCTCCAGCCAGCGTGCCAATTCCCCTTTCAATTCTCTGAAAAACATCAACCACCTTAAAGAAGCGTGATCCGTGTGGATTAGAAATTTCCGTCCTAGGAGATAGTGACGAAACGACTTTGAAGACTCCACTATAGCTAAAAATTCTCGTAGGGTTATGCAATAGTTCCGCTCAGACCTGGTAAACACCCGACTACAATAGGCGATTACTCTTTTCTTCCCTTCCTGTATTTGCGAAAAAACCGCGCCGATGTCAATATTAGAGGCATCGGTATCTGGAATAAATTCTCCTTTCCCTTTAGGAAAAGTCAAAACTGGGGTAGAAGATAAAGTCCGCTTTAATTTCTCAAAAGTTTCTTAGCATTCCTCTCCCCAAATAAATTTGGAACAATTTTCCGTTAAAGAGTATAGAGGTTTTGCCAAGGGAGAGAACCCTTTTACAACTTTACGGTACTAGGAACAAAATCCTAGGAAACTCCGCAATTGTTTTTTATTATGTAGGACTGGCCAGTCTCTTACCGTGGAAACTTTTTCGGAATCTGTGGTCACTCCATCTGCTAAGACTATATATCCCAAATATTGAACATTTTTTCTGAAAAGAACGCACGTCTTTAAATTTATTTTTTAATTTACTTTACGAAATCGTTGAAAAATTTTTTTCACATTCTCTAGCATTTCCGAAAAACTTTTTCCGAAAATGATCACGTCATCTAAATAAATCAAACAAATTTCCCCCAAAATTCTTCTTGTTATATTAAAAGAACAACTGCACCTTTGATTGCACAATAAAGAGAATATATATTTAGTAGTGAATACAATCTTGGTTAAGAAACTTGTAAAGCTCGCGTTACTCAGGCGACGGTTTTGCTTTATCTAAAAGAAAGGGGAAGAAGTGAGAGCGTCTAGGTTATTCTCGCGTTATCTACGACTAATCAGTATCAAGGGCAGCACTGGGCATAAGCGCGAAGTACGAAATTCATTTAGGTATAATAATATTAGTAATCACTCTCAATAATTTTTTTAAAACTTTTTCCATCAAACACTGGAATGTCGCGGGGACATTACACAAACCAAAAGGCATTACAGTGAACTGCCATAAACCGTTTCCAATGGAATTTTCTAAATCTTGGACATTTTCAAGAATAGAACGCGCCTTTTCTTTTAAACTAGAGGCTAAAGGCCGGTTTTCACATGCAATGATTGGTGGCGCCAGGCCGCGCCAGTCGACTAACGCCAGTAAAAATGCAAGTGTAAACACTTGATACAAACTGGCGCTAGTAATGTGGCGTTTACTGGCGGCTATTGGCCAAAGCATATAACCTCAAATTCTGAGGTTATATGCTTGCTGTCATTTATTGTGTGTTTAATAAATGTTAAATATTTTTCATATTATACGCCAATTACTGTGTAAATACTTGTGAGTTTGCTAGTCGGTTCTGGCGCCAATGAATGCCAGTCAGTTGGCGCCACTAATCATTGCGTGTGAAAACCGGGCTTAAGATAATCGTTTTTGACGCGTCATTCCATCTATTCGCCCGAGTAATTTATTCGAATTGCGAGAAAAATTCACCTAACGGGATTGTCCCGTCATACGTGTCGGGCTTTAATTTGAGGTTCTGTTCCCATTTTATATCGCGACGCGGGTCTTCCTTTCCGCGATTCACTACCGCGAACGCGTCTCGCGACCCCGAATCTCCGTAAGCTCTGTTATCGGGAGGACTTATCTGTATGCGAGCCTGACTCCGAGGCTCCGCATTCCGCTGCCGCAACAAAGCTGCGTGCTCCTCGCGCATTTGCTGCATCTCCTGCAGCATGGCTCAAAGGATCTCCGTCTCCGCTGAGAGCTGAGGAGCGCTCGGGCCGGCTCGGGAAATTTCTATCTCCTTCTCGAGCTGTGGGGCACTCGGCCACTCGGTGCTCGTCATCGAATTCCTCGTTCGTTCGCTCTCACCCGTCCGATCCCGGACAAGCCCCCAAAATGTTGAGCTCCGCGCCGAGAAACTCTCGCGTTCGCATCGCGCACTCTCAGACTCGCGTAATAAGAGACAACACTTAAATATATATGGATACAAGCACATAAGTATACACATTCAAACAAAAAAACCATGTATTAAAACATTCTGAACACATTGCCATATCAAGAAAATCGGTTATAAAAAATTTCAGTACCGGTTTCTAAAAAATCAGTAACAAAAAATTATATACATCATGTGTATGTTTGTGCGTGTATATAAGAGTATGCGTGCGTGCGTGCATGTATGCGCAAAATTAAATATTTTATTTTCTAAACCATGCTTATTATTTTGTAAATCCTCTTCATTATTTTTATCGCTGAATTCTATATTTTAATTTTCTTCCTTTAAAATATTTTGTTATACGTCCTGTTCTTTTTCAAAATTCAATGCCGCGTTTACTAAAATTTCAACTCATCTGTCATCCAATACTATAATTTTTAAACATTAATTGCTTTTATTTTTATTTTTATATTTGTATTAAAATTATACATACATGTGTGTGTGTGTGTGTGTGTGCGTGTGCGTGTGCGTGTGCGTGTGCGTGTGCGTGTGCGTGTG